GACGCGTCTCTATTGAATAATCCAATAACCAGTATTATGTTGTGTCCCTTACGGTCGGAGCTTAAGCCTACGCGTATTAAATATTAAACGAGTGTGTTTCTCGATCAAAAGTGGACCGTAAGTCTGTCGGATCATAAATTCACGTTGAGCTGGTTCCTTCGAGTAGGACATCAGGCCAGACAAATCGCGCATTCGGAAAATGTATTTTATAACACCTTTGCCCATACTCAATAGTGTTATTGTTGCGTGTTCTGAATTTAGTCAACTGACCAAGTTCTAACGTCTACGTGTTATTGTGTTGGCCCGTCCAAAGTTTAGAACACGACGCGTTTGCAATGATCGAGTCGCGCTAGTTTTCATTATTATTAGCGAATTGTGTATGCCAAAAAACGTTGCCTTACGTTGGACATTCCTCACGGCCAACGTGTCTTAACAGTAATATTTTTTGTTTAACGATACTGTGTGTACAATCGATTCTCGAGCGTTTATGATTTTTTTTGTGTGCACGGTACACTTAAGGTCGGTATTGTACGTCTCTAATGAATTCATTCGATCGCCTTTATTGTCATGTACTCGTATAATAATGAGCTCTACCATAATCTAATTTTATTAGCTCGAAGAAACAATATTTGAATGTAAAACCGATTAAATTACCATAAAAAATAAACCACGTCGGGCCACCAAAACGATATTTCACCGGCGTGTTGTTTACGGGGATTTTTCAATATTCCAATCCGAGACGTGCTCAGGATATCCTACTTATATATCCATCACTAAAAAAGTTAAAACTACAGCTGCCGCCGAATGCGTTGGGCCGATAGAAAAGATTCTCTATGTAATCGGACAAGTTACTACTGTGCTATCATGGTCTGTGTTATCGCTACCACTATGATTTATGATCCATACATTTTTTATTATTATATCAACGAAATCGGGCAGCGAGTTTTGATTTATGTAATAGGACACACAACTGCACTGTTGTTGTGGAAGTGGTTTTGAATGAAAAATGTATTGGCATTGTATTTTTTTTTTCTCCTGCAATTTGCCATACATTGTGTGAGGCCCGTTATGATTTTACTCGTCCTGGCAAATAAAATTTGCTAAGAGTAATCGTACATGTTATGTACGATTACTGTGTGCATTGTGTCACTGTACACTTTTAAAAATACCTTATTTATTAATGTGACCCGCAAAGATTTCCCAAAGGGAATGATTTTTTTTTTTTTTACTTGTTCGAGTTTTCTTTCTTAATCCGCGCGAGGGAAGGAAACAATAAAATAAAAGTTTTGCGTCAGTGTTATTGTTATTAGACTACACAGTTTACGGTTTCTGCGTGAGCGTCGTCGCACACCGTTTGAACATATGTGATGCGGTTGTTGTTTTGATGGTCATATTTTAACAGTTCAGTGGCCTTATTCGATGTCAGTGTTTCGCTTATCGTGTATGACTAACTCTTTCGTATAAATTAAAAGTTAGTATTCTTAAAAAAAAAGTATATGTTATCATAAATCGACGGTGCGCTGTCAGATATTTATTGTTATTTGTTCTGAATTTTAACGGCCCGTCTATAGATAAATATCTGTTAGAAATATTGAATCGTGTAATCATGTTCTAGTTTAATCAGAACACTCGTACAAATACGGGGAGGTGAATTGGATCGTTAGTAAAGCGGGGCCCGCATCAGTACTACGAGTGATCAGCAAATTGTATAAAACAATTTAAAAATTACACGCTTGAAAGTAGTTTCTTTTAAACCATTAACGTATAACTCGTGATTAGTTATTAATTTGTCGGTATAATGTGTATTAAGTACTTCATAAACGTTAGAAACTGAAATATTGTACAACTAAATCAATTTTAAGAACTGCCGAGTTCCGTACGTCGACAATAAAATATCACTAGTACTGGTTTCAAAATTACTATTCAAGATCACTTATTGTGTCTTAACTTTGGACCAAAATTATGAAAACAATGCATCTAAGTTATTTAAAATTCATCTCGATTCGAGTGGAGTATAACTACAGCTTGCCAAGTGACCTCTTTCTTTATTTCTAGTAGAGTGAAACTAAGAATATTTGTTTTTTTTTCCCCATAATACAAAAACTCTCAAACTTAGGTACACTTGTTACCCTCTGCTCGGGCATTACTTAAACTTTTACTAATTTATAAAAACATTTATGACCGTTTTTATCAAATAAAAAAAAAATATTTTGTTTATAACTAGGGATCAACATTTTGATCTAGTACGGGAGTCCAAAATTTTAAATGGGAGGACCTAAATTCATTTATTATTCAATTCTAAACGAATTATATTTTATTAAAGTCTGAAGTTTGATACCTTTATCATGCTTTGTAACTCTAATAGTAAGTGAACTACATTTTATATTTTTGAATGATTTATTTTACTAAGAGTAATGTTGTGCACAGTTTACTTGACGTTTTTATTAAGAACTCGCTCGGTATCATCGGTGAAATTCTATCCAATGGTGTAATAACGTATTTGTATTTTTTTTTTTTTTTTGCAATGGGTTGTGCCCTTTCAATTGTATAAATTATCGCAAAGCGTGTGCAAGTAGGTAAATATTAAAATATCTTGTGCCTACTGGTTTTACATTTATCATTATGAAAAAGTGTGCAATTACGATGTAAGATGAAGTGTATACGTAAACACAAATAGAACTGTTAAACAAATAAAAGTGATAGGTACTTCACACAATATCTGAGTGTCGTTAAAAGTAATGCTGTGGATATATAAGATAAAAATGCAATTTATCATTGTATAATTGATTTTCGTAATGCGGAACTAGTTCGTTAATTGTGATTGGTGTTTAATATTTATTACTATACGGAAATAAAATGTATCGGAAATTGTTATTCAATTTTTTATTTAGTTCATTGTTCAAAACGCACACCCATCGTTATTACACACCATTAGTAATCGTCGATCAATTTACTGTAATGCAAGTAGTGTAATACTTCTTCGAGTTGAACGTTTGCGGTTTTAATTAAATATGTCAATTTTATTATGCTTCTAAAAAAAGAATTGGAAACGTTTGATTAACAATGAGCTGAAATGCGTTTTTTGTTGGTGTAATGTGGGATTTTTATAAGGCTTTTTATGCTGTTATATATAAATAATAAACTTTTAGTCATCTATCGAAACGTACGTCAATTTTTTCCCCTCGGATGTTTACTTCCTACTCTGGATATTAATTCCTCATGATGCAGCCCTCCGTAAATAAAAACGTTCACTTGAATAATAACTGCCGCCGCCTGTCATCTCCAGAGCGCACTTGCCGAGTTATTACCCCACGATGACGTTCTTCGCAGTTGCTCTTTGCGCACTTAACTAAAACAATACAGAACCCTTAGGGTTTCCAAATCTTTGTAATTTCTCCCCGTTCTACCACAGGGTAGATTTCAAAAGAAATTATTACCTTAAGCGTGCACGTCACATGGTCGTGCCCATTTGTTTTTGTTTCCCAGACGTTCAAGATATTTCACCGCATTTAACGTACTTGGCGTTATGAATAAGTTATTATGTATGGTCAGATGGAAAAAAAGAAGATTACGTTATAAATCGTTCGGGTTTGCTCGCTCAGGGGAGGTTTTAATTTCCTGAACCTAGTCGGCTGCCGTTTAATTTATATAGAGGGTCAACGAACAGATTTCATCAGGTAAAAAGTAATTTGTCCCTCTATAGCTTCCCGACTATGGCTACATAAGAGAATTGCCATTACACACATGTGTATGTTTATATTTGTTTGCAAACGTTCACGTTGTGGGCAATAGCGGCGAGGGGATTCATTTACCCGACTTTGGCAACACGACAAAAGCGGATACGCAGCGCAATTCAGACGCTTTGTATGACAAACGCCCACAATAACAACTGTAGTATTCGTCCTACGACTTCTATCCGGACGTACACGAAGTTAATTCAACCGCCTAATAGTAATAAATAACCAACAGCATTTATTTATTTTAACGTTACTAATGAATTTACTTGTATATGATCTGCAAAAAATGGAAAACTGTTAGCAAATATAATAGTGCCCACGATGCACAGTAATGTGCGGTGAATGTTGTACTTTTATTTATACTATTCAGATACAATTGGTTGGTTTTGTGTTGAGAATTAATACGTGGATAGTATTATAAAGAAAAGTAAATTGCTGCTGATCTTATTGATTATCTTATTTCTAAATACTAACATATCTTCAACTATTCATTTTCTAACAAACCCCATAAGATGAGTTATTTAGTCCGACGAAAATTTCAATTATCACTATATAATGAAAGATATGACGAACGAGTAATCGTGAGAAGTAATTTTTCGTGCCGTGTATAAACTATGACATTTTATGTTCCCTTATCAAAACTTAACCATTAAATAGTATTAATATTTATAATATTTTATAAATGAACGTCCATTTTTGTACTCCTCTCATATTATCATTAATATATTTCGTGTGCAAAAACCCAGTAGCGTGACTTGTCTATTTTTCCAACGGGGTGGTGCTGCTGTTCATCCCCAAAGCTTAAATTTATGATGGTTCTAATTTATAGACTTGCATCGTGTCCGGTCCGGATGGCCTTCGTACCGTCCGATAACACGCCCGTGAATGCCATTTTCACAATTATTAAGTACAGTATGTGGAACTATGTGCGCTGAGGGTCTGTCCGTTAAATTGCACGGACTCCGTGTGACCATATTTATAATAAATATAAAATTTCAATTGAAAGTACTTTTAGTATCATTGGAAGTTGGTTATAAAATAATATTATGTCTGATTTTATATTTTTACCGTATCATTGTGTAAAATATTAAAAATGGAAAATGCTTATACTATTTAAGAAAAATACATTTTTAATTATATCCTACTACATTTAATAATATTAACATTGTTCATTATATAAGTGTGTATATATATATATATATATATATATGTTTGTAATAATTATTTAAAAACTAGTTCTAAAAAGTATTAACCGTTTTTTAGACTGGAATTCTGGTCTCGGGGATCAAGAACGATCAAAAGTCAAACGACAACTCTCTGTATCGTCAGACTCAAAACTATTAGATGAAGACATATGTGAAGAAACTCGTGTCATATTAAGGCCCAAAAAGCCCCCCAGACCAAAATCTGAAGTATTCCTGAATCAAGCTAGCAACAGGAGAACTAAACGATATTCAGCGTTTGGGGTAAGTTTACTTTTTGGAACACAATTCAATTATTTAAAATTCTTTTAATCTTTCTCTCTTTTTTTTTGTATGTGTACACAAAAAAAATATTTTTCTTTGTTTTGTAAGCAGTTCTTAATGACGTTTGCAGCTGTGTAGTTTATTGTCGATGTCCTTGCCGAGAACTAGGAAATATTTTTTTTGTCCATTATAATATTTTACTTTTTGAATCTCAAATTCCTTTTAACAGCACGTGGCGCTCATTTTTTTTTTTACAGTACCATTGTAATAAAACTAAAAAGACACAATTATTAGAAGCCCTTAACAACTTTATATTAAATTTCATTTTTCTTCAAACGTTTTTTTTAATGAATATGAATGTTTTTTTTTAATGCAGGGTGATTCTCCATTTGGAAAAACAGAGGCGTATATCAAACTAGACCCACTTGGTGAAGGTTCCTATGCTACTGTGTTCAAAGGGTATAGTAAGTAAGTATACGGATTCATTAATTGAATGAAATATTTTTTTATTACAAATTAATAATTGAATGTTCCATAAAGTTTAACGAATCAAGTTGTCGCATTGAAAGAGATAAGACTACAAGAGGAAGAAGGTGCTCCTTTTACTGCGATTCGTGAAGCCTCGTTGTTGAAAGAACTGAAGCACAACAATGTTGTTACGTTACACGATATCGTACATACCCGAGAAACGTTAACGTTCGTTTTTGAATATGTGGTAAGTTTTAGAAAAAACATAATAACAGTCCATAATTAGTAGGTATCAAAATATTTTTTTATAAAAAATGTATAAATAAACTTATACTTGTGCTGGCTATCTACTTGGCCTATCTCAAGTAGTTGTGATTAAGGTGAATCATTCTCCCGTCTAGGTATAAAAATGTTAATAATTACTAAAACACTGGTTCAAATGTTATTTTCTTAATCACATAATTTTCTTATCTATAAGATAATTAATTATTTAAAATCTATAAAATTAACTTATTCTTCATTTCACTTTTTTATAAACCTTTTATACTGTTAATTATTATATTTTTCATCTACTGTGTACAAGACCAATTTATTTTTTATTGTTAATTGAACAATGATCAAAATTGAGTGTACAAACTCATTTAACAATTGTTTAAATATCAAGATCAAGGACATGTTTGATTTTCATGACATAAAATTTATATTATAAATTGTATGATCGTATTAAATTACTAACTTGTATAAATAGTTTAATGTATGTAATTTAACTAATTATAAAAAACAGTAAACTACTTTTATTTAGTAATTCTAACGAGATATTATAGTTGAACTTGCAAAATTTTAGTTTTTAGTAAAATTTTTTAGTATAGGGGAGAGTGAGTGAGCGGCAATATCCAATGGGTATTGCCGCTCACATTGATATCAGGCTTTTGAACTAGCTTTATAAAATATTGTCAAGACTAACAAATTTTATAACTCCTTCAAAGTTTATAAAATGTATATTTTTGGTTATACAATTAGTTATTTATATTATATATGTAAATTAATTTTTCATAGGCTATTGTTTTATTTATTCAACTTGATGATTTAAGCTGCAAATACTAATATATTTAGTTAATTTAACTAATAAATTATTACCATTACTATTCTTTGCTTGTTAATTTATTTTGTAGTAATTTATGAATTTATATAACTCCCAAATGAGGGTTACATATTTTAAATAAGTAATAATATAAAATATTAAATCATCCATTATATTTTGTAGAACACGGATTTGTCCCAATACATGGAGAGACACTCTGGAGGGTTAGATTACTCTAATGTAAGGCTTTTCATGTTTCAACTGTTCAGAGGACTAGCATATATACATAAACGACGTGTATTACACAGGGATGTTAAACCTCAGAATTTGCTCATTAGTGAGATAGGAGAACTCAAATTAGCTGATTTCGGTAAGAATTTCTTTTTTATCATAATGCCTTTTCAGATTTTTTTTAATACATTAAAGTATATTTTATTTCAGGATTAGCTCGTGCTAAGTCTGTACCTAGCCATACATATTCTCATGAAGTGGTTACTTTATGGTATCGACCACCAGATGTTTTACTTGGATCAACAGATTATTCAACATCATTGGATATGTGGGGAGTTGGTTGTATATTCATTGAAATGATTACTGGTGTACCTACTTTTCCTGGTGTGCGGGATACCTATGACCAACTAGATAAAATATTTAAGGTAAGAATTAGGATTTCTATATTAATTTACTATGGTTTTATAAAACTGAGTCGTTTTTTAAATTCAAAATATGAGAAATTTAATTTTCAAATTAAATTTTATAGAATTAAATAAATATAAAATTAAAATGGTTAACCTTGAAATTTGAGTTTTTGAAAATATATACCCTTACATTTTTAATGTATGGTTTGTTACAATCATATTTAGTATTGCATTATATGCTATTTTTTTCATGTTGAGAGAGATACATTAAAAAAACATATATTTTTATTAAAATGATAAATGAATTATTAATTGACATTTTAATGTAAATATTACAAAAATATCTGAAAAAATATTTTTATTTGTATGAATTATTTTTTGTAAAATTGGTTTGGTGCAATTTTATTCAAAAATATTTCATAATATAAATGCAAGAAAAATGTTTATCTCTTTTGTGGAGCCTGAAGACTTTTACCTAGGAAAACTTTTTCTTTTAACAGTAAAGAACAAAGTGTCAAACAAAAATATCAAATTTTTTAAATTACAAAAATATAGACTATTTTATTGAACATTGTACAATCTATATTTTGAGTAGTCTATTATAAATAAAAATTATTTACTTACTGAAGATTAATACAAATATTATTTTGAACTTAAATAAAATTAAAGAGAATACTAACTTATTAACAAATACTAACAAAAAAAATTCTTTTAGATTTTGGGTACTCCAACAGAAGAAAATTGGGAAGGGTGCACCCATTTAAAAGGTTACAAAGAAGGAAGAGGTAAAATATACATGTACCCACATCAAAAGCTTGGTCATGTTTTTCCAAGACTATATGATATTGCTGAAGGTGAAAATTTAGCAACATCATTACTTCAGGTACTTAATTAAAACATTTTTTTTTGTTTATAAAAAAAACAATTCACTATTTTACTTATTTATATACATGAAATTTATATTTTTAGTTAAATCCAGATTTGCGTATTAATGCTGAAGCGGGTCTTAAACACAAATATTTTATATCACTTCCTAAAGCCTTATATGATCTTCCAGATGGTAAGTATAAACCTAAAATAAAATAAATTCTACTCTTGTATATATTTATACGTACAAATATACCAGTGTTTCTCAACCTGTGTTAAACTAATTATATGTAGGTACCTCATTAATGCTACATCAAAAAAATTTGGAGCTGTTATTAATTTTGAATATTTAGTCTATATTAAACGAAAATTATTCATAACTTTATATCTTCTTAATTAATAGCCCACATTTGTAAAATAACGTAAATATTTATAATAAGTATTAGGTTATTAGGGATAGTAGAAAACTCAGATTTTTTAAGGGGAAAAGTTAAATTTCTATTTAAAAAATTAGATATTTGATTGTTTTCTTTGAAATAATTTTTAATACATGTATTTTTCTTTAATATGGTAGATGATTATCCCCAATCAACCCCTCTGGTCATGCATATAAATAGATTAAATTGTACAAAATAAAATGTTCAAAATATATAGTTAGTATTTATAATTAGATATAATAAGGTTAAGAACTGCTAATATAGATTACATAAAATTATCAAAACTTTATTTTAATACTGTTAAAATTTTTTTATTTATAGAAGTGTCCATATTTAGTGTTAAGGGCATTCATCTGAGCCATGAATCAAGGACAACATTCAAGTGTTAAACTTGTCTATAATTATTAAGATATAACTAATAATTAGCTCAATATAAATTTAGAAAAATATTTGTAATATTTTATAAGTATAGTTATTTACCAGAAACATTGAGTTGTGCGGTACAATCTGTGCCAGACGCGTCTCGGCCTATGAGCCATCTTGCTGTGATGATGTTTATTTATATTTCCTATGTTCATACCTATAATATTAGTAATGCATCAGTGTTGTTCAATGGTTCTTTAATATAAATATACTTAACAAAGTAAATATAATTGTAATAATTGAACAAATAACAATATGCCTATATTTTTAGGATGTTAAAAAATCTACAATATTTTCTACTTATACAGTTTTCATATGTAATAATTCTTAGTTATTAAGGCAAATTTAACTAATTGCTCAACATAGTGGGGATACAGTTTCAAATAATATAGCTTACGTAATTTAATATTTTTCAAAATTCATGTTTGAAATGATAAGATGAGTTCAGATTATATCCCCACTCACGTTTTGCCGTCCCCTTCAACGTCCAATATTTTCATTAAATATTATCTTGCTGTATATCTATATAAAAACATTCCTCAAATATCTAAAATTGAGCATTTGTTGTTTATTGAATTATTAAAAATATTTTCAATTGGTTAATTTGATTTGTAACACAATTTGCCGTCCAATAATGAAAAAATAACATTACCTTAAAACAACACACAATATGTGTTAACTCTTTTAAATAATTTCATTTAACAATTGATCATTACACTCAGGCATGATTGTTAAAAAATATTGGCATTTTTACTACTGAATTGTGTACATTAGCACCTACATGAAATGGTTGTGCTTTTGATTTCTTAAATTATTGACATATTGTATACTTTATTGATTAAGTTAAACCGGTATGTTTTCTCTGTGTATAATTTTTTTTATAGCTAATATTTTCGTTTTATAAATATACCAAACTTATATCATTATGTTACAATGAAGAATTAGTTATCTGTACTCTGTCATAAATATTATATTAATAAGACCTAATTTATAAATTCAAAAAGTTCTCCTTTAATTTAAAATTTTTTGATAACTTCTTTAATTGTTTAAAACTAAAGAAGTGTTTATCTAATGTGCACATTTTTATTTTTACTTTTGTTATTAAATTTATTATGAGACTTTTTACCCTCAGCTTTAGTATTTGTTTTTACAATGCCCAATAGATCTTGCTAATTGTAAGTAATACTAAAATCACAATTTTTTTTTATTTATCTACATACTAATATTTTTTTCATTAATGAAGTCAATTAAATTTAGCGCTAATAAAATATATTAAATTATAGTCAACTATTTTATTATGTATTTTCATGTTTCTTTATACTGTAAAAATTGTTTTATGTAGGAATAAATATTTTTGTTTAAAAATATTTGGATGTCAATGTGGCTATATTAGAGTAATTTTTGTTGACCAGCAATGAAATAATAATGATTTTAACTGTGATGGTGTGTTGTTGAGTTATCTATAAGCGTTAAATCATTTGTTAATTGTGGTTTAGCAGTATATTAAAATTTGTGTAATTAATAAAAATGTATGTTCCATAAAATATAATTGTTTTCCTTAATATCTTCAGTTGAAGTAATAATTTATCTGAATTTTTACACAATCATACATTTTAATATTTTACTGTACAATGATATAATTATAGTTGCAAATTTATAAGACAATGATGTTTATTATATTTTTCATTTATTAAAATATTTTAGTTCTGTTAAATGAAAAAAACGCTGGTTGTATATATAATTATTATCATAATTTTTGTCATTAATATAGTTTGTTTATATATTATTATATTTGTTTAAAGACTTTATAATTTATATTATTATATTGTAGAAAGAATCATTAAAAATAAAATATGAAACATATAAAAAAAAAAAAATACAAAAATTCTTATAAAAAACAATTAGTTTTTATTTATTACTTTCATAAAATAAATAATTAAAAGCTATAATTGTCTATACTGTATAATTAATTAAACTCCTATTTCAATAAACTCATATTTATTATGTACAAATATAATTGAGTCGAATTAGCTTCAAGTCTTCAAACACACTTTCCATTTTTGTTTGAAGCTATATATCAGTCATGTAAATGGCCATGTTGTTAATATTGATGTAGATAATAACAGGAACAAGTTTTTTTTATTCAAACCTGAAACAAAAAAAGTTTCTAATTTTTTTCTATTCATCTGTTAAATTGTTAAATATTTAATGTGATTGAAATTACACATGAAAAATTTTAAATTGTATGACTTATTGAATATATATACTTTTAGTATTCTTTAAAAATAAAATTGAATAATTTTCATTAAATAATTTAAATAACATAAATTAATATATTATATTTTTTAATCATTGTGTAAACATTTAATTTAAGGCGAAAAGCAATATTTTTTACAGAATGATAATTTTTTGATAATTAAAATAAACACAAGTTTTCCACATTCAAATTTAAATATTCTAAAATTTGAAACATTGTTTCATTAGTTAAATTTTAAAATATTTTGATAATTAGTAACAAATTATTAGGTGGATATCTTAATGATGACTTATATCTTATGTCACAATTATCATTTCACTTTATATTTTTTTAAAAATTTAAATTTTTTATTTATTATTGCATCCTTTGATGTAATACATTGAATGTTAAACAAGTATCATTTAATTATTGGTCATTATTAAGAAAAAAAATTCATTTTTTATTTATATTTCAAAATTTTATGTAAATGTATGTTAGGACAGGCTGTGTCATATTACGGGATATACTCGCTCTACTTATTAAAAAGTTTGTGAATCATTTATTACTTTAATTTACATACATTAATACGAGAAAAGAAATAAAAATGTCTTCTTAGAAATTTCGAAAAAAATTATATTTTATTTATATATACATTTTTTATTAGAGACAAATAAAAAAATCCAACACAATTGGATATACAGCATAGTTGGCACAAGTATAAATGATACCCACAGTTTCAAACATCACTCTTAATCAATTCAATCAATCTAACATCACTCCCTTAAAAAACGATTCCATGCAAATACGTTAAATTTCACAATAATTTGTATATTTGTATTTTCACAACTTCTGTTTTAAAATTTCACACAAATATTAAATGCTTGTTAAATTATTTGATTAATTAAAAATAAAGTTTTATTTAATTTTAATTTTTTTTACTTTGACGTCCTACGAATCATAATAAAACAATCGTGAGGTAGAATATTGTTTTAATATTGTAATAAATATTAAAAGCTTTAATATTATATAGGTTTGAAGACCACAGAATTTCCATAAAATGTTTTTGTTTAAGTTTAGTTAAAAAAAAAAGGTGGTTACATTTAGTTCAATTTATAAGATACTCAACAACAAACTTTTTAAGTAGAATAACTTTTACTAAATTAAAAATAATTATATGTAGTACTGAATAAAAATTAAATTTAATCTTTGACAAAATTTTAATTTCAATTTTACTCAGATAACTCATTTGTCGACATCGCCATTTTTGTCCTCTCATCTTGAGATTATTCCTTGGTTGAAGCCTTAGGTTGTATATTTTTATTTTACATCTTTAAAATTGTTAGTAATGTAGAATACAACAGAAATAATATCTGTACGCTTTAACAACGCGCAACAACAACAAAATTTTTATGAACTAAATTTTATTTTAATTACCCACTAGTCTTAAGTGAAAATCTACGTGCTGCTAGGTATGACTACAACCGCACTGGTGTTTAAAATAACTATCCATTTTTTGTGTATATATACATAATTTAAATATTATCAAAGGGTACGGCCGTTCCTACCACCCCCTGAATCTTGTGTACACAGGTACTAAAGTTATTTAATCACATATTATCGGAGAAAGTTTCCATTCATTTGTAATCTGTATTTAAGATATAACTCGATTAATGATAAGATGAATTGGACTAAGTTTTGATACTCATGCAATTAAATTTAATATAAAGAGGCTATTTTATTATGATGAATCACCTAATAACTTATTAGAATTTGCAGTCATTTTATACATTTTATACTTAGTTTTGAAACTTGATCCGGAGCTTTTAATTTAAATTTATAGCATAAATGAGACATTAATTTCAAGGCTCAGTTTATAATTAAATGATTACATTGGTACTAGGGTAGGTGATTTTAAACAGACATCAACAAATTTATTGTTATCACAGGTAGAATTTGAGCGATGATCCATGATAGTTTGTTCTGTATTAATGTATATAATAAATTTAAGTTTCATTAATAAATATCATTTAATTATTCATTTTGTTATTTAAAACTAATTTTGAATTTTTTAAACACTTTAAAAAATTTAATTGAAAAAGTCGTAATATTTATAGACATGTTTAAAGTTTTGACCCCTCTTGTATAAAGGGAAATGGTCCGATTATAAAAAAAAGTATATCGGATGAAAAGCGTATATAAAAAGTATTTATAAAAAAAAAAATTCTATTGATCCATACATTTTTCAAAAAGTTATTGCAATATATATTTATAAATATCGAATCGAGAATTTCTCACATAAATCGTACGTTTTTGATCTTGGAAGAGCATCAGTCATAAAAAGGACATCAAATTTGATGTCCTTTTTGACCATAAAGACAAGTCCAAGAGGTAAAATTTTTTTTTTTCACACTAAAGTATATTACATTAGTTTTAATTTAAAGTATATATAAAATTTGTCAGTATTTCTGGAACATTTTCAAAAACTACGGGAAATGAGGGATATTTGTTCAATTTTTGAGGGTATTGTCTTCAACTAGATATGATTTAAGATCTTTTGACATTTGTTTATGAAAATCGGTCTAGCGAGAGCCGAGAATAACAGGTGAAAGGCACAAAAAAAAAAAACACATCATAGTAAAATTAATACCTTCTCAACTTCACATCGAAGCTAAAAAGTTTTTGGGATTTATTAATAAGACACCTGAAAAAAATAAATATTCAAGTTATAACTATTTAATTGGAAAATTATTTTTTTTCATTCTCAATTATTTTAAAACGTAATTACTATAAGTTAAGTTCTAACAATTCTCAAGTAAAAAATATCCCATTGATTAATTCAAATAACTATAAGTAGTTGTGTTGCTCTTAAATTATATACTCGTCTGAAATGGATAATTGAAATAAATAATCCAATAATTGTTTTTACGCAATTGATTCTTGTAATAAAATTAATGTACACATTAAATCACAGATCTGCTAATTATATAAGGGAAAATAAGCATTTTTCGAAAATTCATTATTGGCGTTGTAAAATAACGACCAACGCGATTATTGATTTCTTAATTAATTAATGAAACACTTGTCCTAACCTCACCGATCAGAGAAAAATTCATGCCAGTGAAATTCACGTTTAAAAAAGCGAAAAGTACATAATTATGTTAATTAGTTTTATAAATTAATAATAAGCATATAACCATCCTATAAGTATGAGCATTTCTTATACTGGTAATTTCTTGTGTAATCATTTTTTTAATATTATTATAAACTTTATTAATATCAGAATAGCACTTTAAAATTATAAAATGTTAATAATATAATAGATACATAATACAGAAATATGATTAGAGTTGCCTATGTTCAATGAAAATAAGATTGTCAAAAGCGTTAGGGTCTACCACCGAGAAGGGACAATTTTTTTATTTAGTTTTTTTCCTCTATTCAATAATGATTTCTAAACGAAAGAAATTAAGTCAACACAGAAAAATAAACGCCCTAATATGAATAGCATAACGCGTGATGTAGGCGATGTCAATTTCCTTAAAAATTGTCTGATAATCGTCTCAAATAAATAACTTATAAACATAAGGGTTTTTAACTATTTATTAATAAACTAAGCTCATTATTTTGAGTCATTCTATAAGTTACGAGAGCCTCGAATGAAAGAGTTAAAAATATAAATAGTTCGTCTAGCCTATCTAATATAATTGTTAGTAGTCAACGTAAAAGTAAATTTTTATTAATAAAAAGCACTTAGAAATAAATTTAAAAAAATTTAAAAAAACTTTAAACTTTGTTTACAATAAAATATATTTAGGGCTTGATACAAAGCTATTCAGAAAATAATTTGTTATTAATTGTGAATAAATGGATACAAGACATTTTTATCAAAGACAAAAATATATTCTTAATAATTTCTTTTTTTACCTCATACAATTACATTTAGTTATAAAAAAATTTTCGAACAAATAAAAACTATAGTCACGTTAAAATATTTTATTTTTATAATATATTTGATCATATTTTACTGTTTTAAAATTCTTATTAAACCAAGTCTTATTTTTATTTGCTTTATTCTCTATAACTAAATAAGTTAAATTTAGATAATCCATAATTATACATTAAAAAATTGCCGCATTTAGTTCAATTATAATATTTTATGAAAAAAGTATTTAATAAAATATACAGGATAAGTCATTTATCACCAACCACTTCATTAATCAAAAAATACCAGTAATATTAAGAATTTTTACTTGCCATATTTAAGTACAGATTTTTATAATTGATCATTCATGGAGTATATGTTATGTTCATCCCATATACTTTATTTAGGTATTAATTTTATTTTTTCAAATGCATAAGTAACTAATTTATTAAATAGACAATGATTTAATTAAAAACATAGAAATATAGACTGGATGTCAGGGTGGATTAAGTTATTTTTATCATTATGTATCACTGCCATGCTTCACTTATAAGAAATATAGGATGGACCTACAAATTATTTAATTACTTATCATCAAGAAATAAATAGTATTAAACGAGTTCAAATAAACATTTAAAATTATTATTCTTTGATGAAAATTATATACACAAAATAAATATCAGTACTAACAGGTTTTCCAAATTTTTTCCTAAATTATAGAACAGAGTTTCAGATTGATGGAAATTACATATTGATAATACAATTACTATTTTATTTCCATTTAAATAATTATATTTTAGTATTTTAATTCATTTTGTTGTCTAGATAAAGTATCAAAAATAAAATTATTATTAAAACACTACTACTCTATTAATATATATATTGGCATAACATTATTTTTTTATTTAATAAAAAATATTTATACAAAAACAAATATGTCATACTATACAAATTAAATTATTTTTAACAGTAATTATTAGACCTAGCAATTGAATTTATAAAATCTGAGTTTTAAAGGACATTCATAAACATCTTATAGATTATATCATCATACACATGATCATATCCTATAAAATATTAATTGAATAATAAAAAAAAACATTATTTTGGATTTAAATGTACTCCAACTGCCATAGAAAAATAGATTTATTATATTAATATGTATTTTTTACTAACAAATAAATGATATAAAATAATAAAATGATATAGACACATGATCATTCCAAATCTAATGTTCAAACTAGTAATTTTAAATATTAGTATTTTTTTATAATGCAATTTTATTCTTTTATTTTCTTACCTATTTTTGTTTTCGCATTGAAACCAGACGAAAGAGTTCATAGCAATATATATCATGCCCAATATAAAAAATATATCGACAGAGTAGTGAGTTACATTTATTTACAAATTATATACAATCAAAAACTAAATTCAAATGGTGTAGAGGAAGCTTTCCAACAATACACAGACCTGCCTAAATTAAGACTAAAATATAATTATACAATAAGTGTACTAAATTTCGAATACACTAAAATAATAAAAAAATTTCTTGAATACGTGGCTATTATCATCCGCAAATGTCACGAATGTCATAAAAATAAATTGCCGGAAAAGTTTGTTAGTTGGGTAATATTACTTGAAGATCAAATAAAAAATTCCAAGACTATGTTTGAAAATCTACACAATGCTATGAAGTTTATAAGCTACATAGACATAAGATATTTGTTTTCTGAATGTACCGTGCCGCATGCTATAATTGAAGAAATCGATTTTATATATCAATTTGTCTCAGAAAAAAACGTAGAGAATAGTTCTTTTGATCTCAACAAATCATTAAATCAAATATCTAAAATAAAACTTGGGAATATTGTTAAATTTCATAAAGATTTAACCAAAATAGTGAACTCTCTTACTGAAGATAGTAAATACATAGACCCATCTATAAAAACTGATTTGAAAAAAATTGAAATTAATGAACGATCTAAGAAAAAGAACTCTTTCGATGTCTATTCGGAACACCCTAATAAGTTTTACAACGAAACTATCAATATTTGGTACAAAAACTTAGGCTTTGAACAATTTCTTGAACCCATAGAAGCTGAGTAAGAATTTCTACATTTAAATTTATTTTCTAATTTTATATTTATTTATTTTATGAATTCTATATTTTTGACACATTTTTGCGTAATTAACGTGAATGAAAACTAAACAACGTCACATTTATAATATTTAAAATTACATTATCTAAGTATTTATATAATAATGGATATTTATCATTTTAAATATAGATTCAAACCTCCAATTGATCCAAAAACAAATCAAAATGATGGAATTAAAGCTCTCAATATTATTTGTAAAGAATCTGGTTGGGAAAAAATGAACCACATAAGTATAATTTATTTTGGTAAACAATTAAGTTTAGATCGTATAATAAATGATGAAGTTTGTGACATGAATTTTCGAATAAAAAAAGAGCATGTATCACAATTATTAAGATGTCGATATACAGAAGTATTGAAAAACTATTATGCAATACTATCTTCTATAATGTGTGTATGTCTAAATGATGTACGTAACTTCTATCACAATTGTTTGATTAAATTATTTAACTCATTCAAGGAATCCGAAAAAATGATCGAAGGATTGTATAAAGCTATGGTTGCTTCAAATAGATCATCAATATGGAGTGTTCATCGGAACTCTAAATCAAGTTTACACAATCTTTTTCAATGGGTGACTATTATTCTCAGGTTTTTGAAGAACAATAATTTTAATCTAGATAATTTTATGGATAGTTATGATGACAAGATAATTATTATACTTAATGAAGAAGAAACTGTAATTATTGAAAAACTTCTAGAAAATTAAAAAAAATTTTTAGTAAAAATTAGTGAACTGTTACGGAATGAAATAGCACAACTAGGCACACGATGTTATATAAGTAAACGTTTTTATAGAATACAGGACTATACAAACAGTTTTGTCAATTCATATAATACATTGAATAATAATAATAATAATCCAAATATTGATTGGCGATCACAAATTATTCTTAACGCGTGTAATTATTTTGACAAGTTTTGTGAAGACGTTTATAAATCTTGTTATGAAGATTTGGGTTTCAAAAAAATTTTAGACTGTCAACACAAAGAATTACATCACGATCTCATTCCATATACTGTAGATTTATCTACTTAGTGTTCATTGCATAGTGAAGACTAAGTAATAAAAATATAAACATTTATAATAATGTCAAGTTCCATTATATTTTCATACATTAAATAATATTAAAATAAATTATTGAAAAACGTATTATTTCGTATTTTATTTGAACGAAAAAATAATACTTTATTGAGGACTGATCATAAAGACATCATGACGAAAGTTTTCACAATGAGCACAATATAAAGTTCGAATTTTTTTTTCATATTTAAGTAAATTACATGAACTTAAATTTAAGATACATACAGAGTGATTTTTATAATGCTAACCAAAAATCACTATGAATAAATGTGTCAGTATTTCCGAAACATTTTCAAAAATTAAGTTGAAAAAGTTCTACTTTCTATACTCATTTTTAAGTTTTGAACCCCCCTATGGACAGGTAAAGAGTCAAATTTTTAAAAATATATACCAAATAATAGATAAATACCTATTATTTATCGAAGATAAAATAAAAATTTCTTTGAAAAAATTTGCCAAATCCCTTGAAAGGAGTGTAAGGTACAGTAAAATACTGTATGTAAAACGCAGTTATTTACTATAAAATTTTATTTTAAATAAAAATAATGTATTCACTAATTTTTTTTAAAAGATCCACTTTCTTGAGTATTGCATATTTTCTAGGGGACGTATAAAACCATTTTCATGACTCTAATGTTTTGATTATCAAAAAACAATTGGAATCGTAAAATTAAAAAAAAACTTTTGACAGTTAGTGAAAAATGTATAATGCCGGCAAACATATCTTCAAAGGAAATAGAACGAAAATCAAAATATCTAACATAACTAAAAACGAAATAAAACAAAAAAGGAAAACATATTGACGATTCGTTATAACTTATAAGGTACAATGAATTTGGGGAAAATATAACTCGAACAAGTTTTTGTTCAGGATGGAATAATGGGGAGGGGAAATGTCTCTTTATAAATTATGTAAACTAATATACTGAGGAAAGAAATCAATTAAAAATAAGAAGACAGGAATGTCGAATGACAACACTTTTTGATGCCTATTACTTCGTTTATTAAACAACTGATGGATAAAGAAACGTCAGTCGGTAAAGTTTCTTTAAAAATTCTCTATAAAAAAATGTTTTTATTAAAAAAATAATGCATAACTATTTTTAATTTGAAAAATTGATTGATTTGTTAACGATTTTCTTATTTGTTAATAATTTGAATAGGTACGTTCATTATCATTGGTTAACATAGAGAATGGGGCTTAGTCTTCGAATAACTTCCGTAGAATTAATAGTTATTAAAAAAAATAATAATTGAGTAAACATTTTTTTAAAAATATTAATGGCCCCTTAATTTTGTTCGACAAATGTTATGATTGTTATATACTACAGGTTTGCCCTTAAATGTATTTTTTTAATCAACATTATACCTTCATGACAATTTTCGATGACTAAAAATGATCATAAAAAAATGGTTTAATTTTATTAGATGGACACCCAACAGTAAGTAAGCAGTAATTTACAACTTAAAAGTGAGAATGATCGTTCAAGATATTTCTGGGCGAGTGGGTAAACGAGTTATTCTAGCGTATGACGTCAGGTCAATTGGCTAATGGATAGCAAATAATAATGCAATACTTTTGTCAAATGGATTGCAGAAAGGATATGTTAAACGTACAGCGAACTTGTAATTGACAGCAAATTATGCATCCTGATAGAAAAAACCGTATACGCGCTCTATAATCATCCAAACACTGTCATAAAATAATTACAGAATACGTGTCTCGTCTTACTCCATTGTTCTTCAGAATCCAGAATTATTCACGGCAAATCAAAATATCCAAATATCTTATTGATCGAATGACTTCTGATGTCGATTTACACGGCAAGTTAATAGAATTGTATTGTGTACATGCAACAGATGTGGTTCGTGGTTTAATTTGTGTCTTTGACATCGATCACGACTATTTGAAGTGTCTTTAATATATAGTGATGTCATAAAATAAATAATTCATCTGGAAAATGAACTTGGAATGATGTAAATTATATAAAACTATCCCAAGACTTATGAGACAATGAGATGTAATACAGAAAATACAATATATTTTTTTCAAGTCTGAAAGGTTGGGTTGTTTTGTTTTATTGTTGTTGTTGATTTTATTTGCAAAAGATAAGAATAATTAAAAATAAACCAATTATAACTTCTTAATTTATAATTTTCTATTTAATTTTTTTTTATTCGAGTTTTATTTAATATAAATAGGGAATCGAATGCTTGTTCGTGTTAAAAAATATTTAAAAATAAATACTAGATTGAAATTATAATATTATCAATAGAAATATAATTTTGTCTTAGGGCAGTTAAACGTTTTACTATTGCTTTAGATTGAAATGATAATATATATTTAACTGCTCCGATTCCCAATATAGCCCCAAGTTGGCCCTCTTGATGGTACTGAGTTTTATCTGAAAATTTCAGTGTATCTTCATTCAAATGACTATAGATTAATTAAAAATTATTTACTTTACATTTTTTTTTAAATTAATTTTACTCATTATGTTATTAGTTTAAAATTTATACTTTTATTAGCAAACGTAAAATAGTAATAATAATATGAACATTTTATTTTCTTATTTACACAGTGACTAAATTTTATGAGAATAGCGAATTTTTTCCTTATAATTATTTAGTCATATTTATTATGTTTAGCTATTCAAATTAGATTTATTATTAATAATTCCCGGTATTCCAAATTAATTTAAACAATCAGTGTATTGACATTCAGCAATGGAAAGCTCAATTATGCAATAATTAAAATTTATAATACGAAATATGATTTCTAAAAGTTAGTCAAATGAAACATAGTCATTAGTATTTTTTCTGTGATAGATATATTATTCATATTTTATAAATAGGGGATTGTTTAAAAAATACTATTTTGTTTTTATGTTGCACCTAGTCATAATTGAATAGTTAGATAACTGATTAAAGCGCTTTTAAATATTTTATTGTCGCAAATGTATTATTGTTCATTATTGGTACATTTTCCATGAATTTCAGCTAATAAAGCTTGTTTTAATGTACATAATAATATTTATGTGTTACTCAACACAAATGTATGCAAATGCCGTCCAAAGAGGTTTTTTTATTGTTTTAAACGTCGAGCACTTGTACTAGCTGTTTTGTCTCTGCATAATTAAATAGTTAAAGGTTTTATTTCCATGACTATGACGTTTATGGAGTAAAACGGTAAAACCTTTTTAATTATGCCATACAAAAAGTCAGTCTTAAAAGAATGAAAACTATTATAAATCATACATTATGATTGTGTCATTACATGACACCAAAGAAAAATTTTGTTTTTGTTTAGACGTTTACAATTATGCTGTTAGAAAACATGTAATAAATGGTAAAAAAATAATTGTCATAAAAACACACATTTTTGACATCGCATAACCTTTTAAAGTAAAAACATAAATTGTTTTTCGTGGTATTTGTAAAATATTATTTAATTTAAAATTTATTTACCGTACATTTGTGCATTTAAATATATTTTAATTTTTCACTTTAATTAAATATATGAAATTTTATAAAAAGAATCTAACATTTTCCTACTTGTGGCAAAACAGTTTATAAAATGACGCACAATGTTACAATTGATTAAAAAAAATACACTAACAATAGTTTTAAATGTAAATTTTCATTATGGAATTGTGATTTAGTATAGAATTGATAGTTTAAAAATTAATTAAAATTTCAAGACAATACATTATCGAAACATGATTTAGGACAACTTGTTTATTTATTTCATTAAATAACGAATTTGTTTTTTATTTATTAGCGCATTCATTTTTTATGTACACTCAACAATTACTATTTAAATATGTTCAGTGCTGTACTTTGTTTTTTTTATTAGAGTTAATTATTGGTGATATTTTATTTGAATGTTGTATTTAGTAAAAAATAAAAATAAAAACCATAGAATTCTTGTAATCATTTTTGTCAAAATAATTTATTACAATATAAAATGATATTTCAGTGTACATTCTATTGTTTACAGGTATATATATTTAGATGATTAATATTGTACCGTGTATCTGGAACCTTTAATAAATAATATAGTTGTAGTTAAATTTACCATTTATTTTATTCAGTTGATATTTCATTTTAATATACAGATATGGGGCATGTTTAAATTTTACACACTTTACTAATATTTTACTTTATTTTATTATATATATTTGATATAAACTAAATTACTTCAAGAATAGAATTTGTTGTACTTGATATCAGCATATGTGCGTATTTTCGAGAACTTCTCAAAAATGTTACCTTGGGTAAGATCAAAAACATTTTTTAAACGTAGAATTCTGAGTACACACTAAGTATTTTTGCGTTATAATAGAATTTTTTTATAAATCCTAAAAAGAGAATTTGGATCAAACCATTTTTAATAAAAATGTTTTCATCGTTTGTAACTTCAACTTTAAACTGTATTGGGTATTGCACTTTCACGTTTTTCCTACGTAATAAATGAGAACGATTTGTCTGTAAAAAAAGCTACGTTAAAGTAGGAAGCAATTGAATTAAGTATTTTATTACATTTCCCTAAATATATCACAAACTGTTTTTATTATAAATACTTTTTGATGTTTTTATAATTCTTTGCCTGTATTTTTGTACTCCGTAATTCAAATGAAAAAAAATGAACGGTGTCATATCATTTGGTATTTGGTAATTGTAATTAGAGGAAGACAATTTGTTTTATCGTCGCAATATTTGTATTTAAACTAGTTGAATAGTTTTTAGACGTTCAATATGAAATCGTTAGTAGATAAATTAAGTGTGCAAATTATTAAGTACCAGGAATAGTTACCTAATAATCTTTACTCGTGGGTCTTGGACAAATGTACAATTAGTATTTCAAAATAATATTATACTGTTCACTTTGGTGTCTATAGAATTGCTAAAGGCAATGTTTCAAGTTATACCATTGTATTAATTAAACTTAATTTTGAGTCTCAAAATCCCAAATCGGAGAATTGATGTTATACCTCTTGTGACTGTAGCTGATTTTAGAGACGACTTTTAACGAAGTAACATTATTTACTTCAATTGTACATGATACTAAAATATATTTCTTCATCAGGAAAAAAATGTATACCTTTGAAAACTTCATTATAAAATATTTTATAATACGTTGTCAAAACAGTTAACTCCTTTACGTTAAACGTTTACATGGTTTGTATTAAAGAAGAACCTTCTTTTTATGTCGACTATATTTCTATATTAATAAATGTAATGTGGAACTTTTAATTAAAATTATTCTTGCTGTTGAAAAAAAAAAATGTAAAAGTACTTGAAGTACAACTTATAAAAATACATTTATTTTCTGAAATGTAATTTTTTTTAACAGTACTCGTTAAATAGTTTTGTTGTACATATTACTAAAATCAACTAAATTGTAAAATTTAAAATATCTTAAATTATTCATGAAAAATGCTTACCATTTGCTTTATTTAGTGATCCCGTCGTACTTCTTGGATCTTGTTGTGGTCTTGGAATTTCTTTAAACAATTACAATAATATAGTTATGAAATGGCTTTTAAATTGTTTTTGGTATACTTGTCTAATGTCTAATCGCGTTATTATAATATTTACCGTAAATTCTCATAGAGCCTTCCGCTTCGCCCAATGAGTTTTTGGTAACGCATTTATAGCTTCCATAGTCTTCTGGGCTTAGTGATCTTATTGTTAACTTCATGTGTGTTTTATATCCTTCCTCTTCAAACACTAGATTGTGTTTTGCACTGGAGAATATCATTGATTTTACATCCTTAAATAACCAATAACTTATTGGTCGTGGATATGATTCAGTCAGACAGTCAATCGTAACATCAGTACCCAACGGAGCACCGACTAATTGATTAGGAACCACCAACATAGGAGAAACTGAAAAGAAATGTACAACTTTAGTCAACACAAATTTAATCAAGTTTTTAATATATTTTCCATAGAATAATATTAATTTGTTTTATTTTACGAGATTTATTAGGTTATTCAAAAGAAATTGTTTTTTTTATTTATTGATACATCATAATAGTTTTAATTTATTTTTATTTTATACGATATCATTCGGGTTTTTAATCTATTGCCAACTTCAATTAAAAAACATAGAACATACGTATTGTCGTGTATACTGCGTCAAAATTAGTGTTTTTGGACATTTATTTTTGTCAGACTCGTTTATTATGAATAATAAAATCACTCTTGTATTAAAACACACGTAGTGAAAATTCGTTTTTGATCATTCTGAAACTCCGTAACAACTCGGTTGTTGCAATATGAACGATAACATTGTGCGACGGACGGAAAGTCTTGTACTTCGGTTTATGTTTGTAGGCGTTTTATTGTCGAAGAAATTCGTAGAAAATTTGATAATTTATCTCACGTTTGATCGTTCGATAATTAATATCTATACATTTCGAGAGAGAAACCGAATTAGATGATAAATCGTGATTTTCATGACTGTTTCGGTGCAAAAGATCAATGAACTTTGCATTTTGATAGTGTCAAAAACATCCCGAGCCGGCAGTGGAGCTCGCGAGTAATCAAACTTTTGTGTTAATAGTAATTGACACGGAAGACACGCAAACTGAGTGCAATATTAACTTTTCACGCTGAAAACATACACCACGTGCGTAGTATTGTTTTTGGGTGGACGAATAAAGGTGCCGCAACGTCTTCGATATTGCCGTCAAAAACCTCAAACATGACGAAGACGACGCGTGTTCTGCATATGTAAATTATAAACGACGACCCTCTCCTCACTCTCCCGCTTTGCCGAACTCTAGTTGGTGTGCGAAATTTGTTTTGAAAACTTTTGAAATAATCTAGACCGGAAAAGTTTACCCGTGTAATCCGAGACCGATATTGCACTAGGCCCGGTGCTTTCTCTTGCACAACAAAATAACGACATTACATTACATATTATTATATTAGCGGCGGCGGCAAACGGCAACGATAATAATAATAATAATAATAACAATAAAATTACATTGTACGAGACCGATGTGTGTAGGCTGTTGATATTGTGAGCACGGACCCAACCGATTGATAAAACGTCTGATTTAAAAACTGCTTGCGCCTCTGTACTCGGTAGTGATGTATTGTAACGAAACAGGTACACGAACTGTGTGGCTGTTATTTTGAGCAATTATAATTTTATAAATGTGTGTCGGTGCTGTGTTTATTTGATGGTTGATTTTTTTTCCAGCGGCCATTAATCTAAAAGACAATAAATGTCAAAGTCCTTCCGAAGTTCGTCGAAAAAAGGACGCTTTTAACGGAAACCGAATGTTTTCTCATTGCTCCGTTGGAATTTATGGTGACGTGTACCATCGATGGTACGACTAAGGTAAACTAATAATATTTTACGGATTCACGGTTGCCCATTAGTCGACGAAAGATTTGGACAATGTAAAAATGCGTAATTGTGCTGAATACTCGAAATTCATTTAACTATGTGATAAAAAACGAGTTGACTGACAGTTTTTAAGCATGTGCCCTAAAGTTTTGTAAACTCATTTTCTTCAGACATCTCAAAAAAAAAAAAAGTACCGAGTAGCAGAACGTAACGCTAAATTACTGTAATCTAAAATAAATTCATAATTTACACCAAAATTGGTAAAAATGCAACTAATACATTGCTACTTAATGAACTATTGTTTAAGGTTTTTAGAATTAAATATCTAAAAACTGAATCAGGTTATAGCTTTCAATTTTATACCAATTACAAGTATTTTATTAAAACTCGATATTGCTCGAACTGTAGACTGACTTTTAAAAGTCATAAGCTTCACGAGTAAAAATAATTAATTTCGAGTGTAAGCCGATAAAAGAACATTAAATTTCAACTATAAAATTTTAATCAACGCACCACAAAAATGCTGCACTGCTTTAAATTAAATTACGTCCATGTTCTGAATGTCCAAATTTCAGATGAAATATATTTAATCCCCTAGAAATGTCTAATTATAAACTGTAGCTGAACCAAATGGTAGACCGACTGTACTTTTTATCTGGTGTTGAAATTTTCTAGTTTAAACATAATTAAATATATATTAAATAAAGCATTTCGTCGAGATGTAAACAAATTTCCCGTTAGTGGTCTACGTTAGTTTATCATTTTTCTTTTTGTATCCAGAACACTTGTGTATTGTTTTTTTTCGTTGCTAGTTCACATCTTAAATCAATCGTATTGGTCTCTCAGCGTTTAACTGTTATAAAATACTGTCTTTTCACCCACATATATATTTTTCTTATTCTTAATTTAATGTTCTAAGACGCATTTCTTCTATTGTTTATCTAATGGTTTTTATTATTTTCTTGTTTCTGATCGCGTTTATGCTTTTTGTTAACTCCTCATTTCAAAGTTGTAACTAAACTCTTTTACATATTTAATAAATTAATCTTCCGTACTTTTCGTTTTTCTAATTTTTCGAGCTATTAGGTGCTCAATTTTTATGTCTAAATAAATTAGTTTTCAAGACTTCTTGCTAAATCCATTGAAAAATGTTAACAAACATCACGTATTTATTAAAACGAAACCGGTAAAATTGCATTTGCGTGCGCCTTTTATATTAGACTATAGGAAAATATCAATTTTTTACATAGGCCATCATTATAATAATATTATTATTTTTACTACCGTGCTCACGTGACTTCATTCAATGGACGGGAATATAACTTATTAAAATCAGTAATTATGATTGAACTTAGTGAATAGTTTTAATTGAAGTTTTGTTATATATAAAGATAGCAACAGGAATTCAACTTTATGATTCAAAGCCCTGGTTTCAATTTCTCGCAAAAGGATTTATACCCTCACTGTCTTCACAATCGCCTTTAAGCGGCTATTACAATAGCTATTATAGTATTGTCGTGATAAAATGTGAATTTTCGATTTTTTTCATTTCTTATACACTTTATTTTCCCCATATTTGATGCGGATCAGAGGGGATTACTTCTTTTTAAAAGGAATAACGATAGTAGGTTTTTTACTTAGAAGTTGGAATCCATTAGGTTTTGTGAAATACAAGAGTTGATTGATTCTAGTTTTTATTTCGCATGAAAACAGTGAAACATATTTAGCAATAAATTTATAGTATTAAAAATATTTTCAATTTTTAATGAAATATTAATTCTAGCAATATTATTTTAAACTGCAGACTGTACAAATTATTCATTATGATTACTTTCTGATCATCAACTAAAATACACTTATTAGAGTTGGTAAATCAGATTGTCATAATAGTCATGTGATATTAGAAAAAAAATCAATTTGTTTAAAATTGTTCTGAAAATATTTAATAATTATTTTCAAAGGTCACTTTTCGTAGAATTTAAAATAGTTTAGTAAAAACATTAGATTTTCTTCGGAAGAGAATAAAAATAAATAATATAAATAGTGATTTTATAAAATGAACATTGGATAAAAAATATTTTTACTTTGATAACTTTTAATATTAAGCCCATAAATAATCTAATAGTATTGAGATTTTATTAAATCCAGAAATGATTGCTTTTCTTAAAATTTTATGGCATATTTCACATTTATTTGACATGTACCAACTATTTGGTTTGAAATAAGAATAAATTTTTAATTAAAAGTATGTTTTTTAACTTAGATGTATATCTAAATACGCTTTAAGTAATATTATTATTATTATTATTTAAAAATAACAATATAATAAAAACGAGAACATTTTGCTCGATTTTAATTATATAGTATAATTGATTTCAATATTGGCATATACTGGGTAAAAATCGACTGACATCAATAGAAGTGTTTTTTAGTTTATATTGCGCAACATTTTAATTTTTTTTGTGATTCCTACCGTATTATGTATTTAAAGATTTATAATATAACGTTTATAACACTATAATCTGAGATGCTGTGAGTACTAATACAAATATACATACGATATACAAATAGGGAGAGATAGATCTAATAGACAACTTACAACTTTTGATACAAATAATATTTTATTGAAATTTTAATAAAAAAAATTAAAAAATGCAAACATTATTTTTGCATTATATACTGAATTTAAAGCATATTTTTTTTTAATGGTAATAAAATTAAAAATATTTCATTTAATTTAATTGAGTGGGTATGTAGTACGGGTGGGTACAGTTTTTACTGGTGTATATTTATAAATAATTTTTTAAAAATTACAGCAATTTGTTTTTATATCAAACTGCTGTAAGTTGATAGTAATATGTACAGATTGATTGATTAACTATGCCTCCAGCTATGTCTCTAAAATTATAAAACATATTATAATATGCATTGTACAACAGTATGAGCTGTATCCACCCTATGTATTAAAATGATTGTAGTTTAATATGTACTTATCCAAAAGTTGTTATCGACCCAGCAACATTTTTTGTAGAAAAAAGTGTAAAAAATAGATATTTTAAATTATTGTTATGAGAGACAAATAATAAAAATTGCTCTTTTACGTATTCCAAAATTGTAAAACTTGTATAAAAAAAAAGTAATGCAAAATATTTGCTGGATCAAAAGTTATTAACGATGTCAAAACCTGATGGGACGCCCTGTATAATGTGAACATGAACATTTTTAAAAAATACTTTGAATAATGGAATTTCATTTTCAAGTATTATTCTTGTACAAATATTTGGATCTTAATATAAATTGTACATATTTTTACATAAACATTCAACAATTTTTTATATTGCTTGTTACACTTACATTCGACATCAAGAACAATTCTTTTACTGACTGAAGGTGGAACACCGTTAGATGCTATACATAAATAAGATCCCATATCGGATCTGGCAACTTTAGTTAAGTTTAAAGTATCACCGTGAAATCTTTCAGCTGTAAAAAAAAAAATATTATTATAATAGTAAATCATTTTTTGAAAATTTTGTAAGTTAAATTGTAATATTAGCAAATATTTTTATCGCATTTACATTTAAACAGATTGTATTAAAAGAATAATATGAATTAACAATTTTCTTAGACATGTACATTTTTTAAATTCATGATTTACTTATTTCTTAAAAATGACCTATTTATTTTATACCACAATATATTCATAAAACATCTATAAGTTCTTCAATAAGATAAGAGATAGATTCTATTGTGTTTCAAACCAAGTAAACTAATAAAATATGTAAGAGGTGTACAAGTAAGGAGATTCACAAAAGTTTTATATTTTTAAATTCGATTGCAACCGCAGTCATAGTATAATAGCGCGATAGTTAAAAATGTATTTTGTGAAAACACGGTTTTCAATGTGTTGCTAGAAAAAGTCGTTACAAGTTTGTACAAAATGTTTTCATCGTCAGATAACAAAACTATTTAATACCTCCCTCGTTTTGATAGCATAATAGTACTCGTTTTTACAGCAATATTTATCCTGTTAATCTCAGCAAAAACGATGGGCTCAAAAATTGATTTACCTCAACAAACAAATCACAAAATGCTGTCAGTCTGGTTTAAAATATTATTTGTTCGAAATAAATTCAATTCCGCCGACTTACTAATCCAATTGTACAGGTCAGAAAACCGCACAAATGTAGTATCCACCATTCGTTTAACAACTACTTATAAAGTAATCCCATAAACTCTCTTCTACCTCAGGGAACACTTAATGTAACATCACATAACTTAAAGTTTCTCTTTTTTTTTTCTTGTGTTGCATATTTTAACGGTTATTTTTCTTCGAAAAACTCGTATATCTCGTTGCCTCAAGACATCAACGATTAGTCGTCTCATAGGACTTCCATACTTTTAGTAGGTAATATAATACGCCGTGTCCATTAGTGGACGACAAAATATTGTCGACAAACTTTCATCGTAAAATTTCCTTTTCACTACCTCATAGTATATTTTTATATACTCCTTGGTGGTTTCTTATAACTAAGTTTCCCCAGCAACAAATATAAATCATTAAACACTTTAGGACACTAAAAACAATAGATTATTAAGGAAGATAAACTGATAAAATTTCTCTACTATCAAAGTTCGTCGCATAATAAAGTAAGTTTTTTTAACACTATAATAATAATTTTTTTTTCAACTTACTACGAAAAATTATCTTGGTATTTCGAAATGTTAGTTGTGCTTTTAAAAAACGATGTGTTTGTAATTAAGAAGTTAAAAATTATAAATAACTTTGAGGTTTATCATGTAAATTAAATAAACAAAGTTTTAGGGTAATACGGCAGGTATATACAATATAGATTCAAGTAATAATTTTCATTAACTGCGTACCTCAGAGTATACATTATATTATCTTAATATTATAAAATATTCTACCAAAGTATAAGGAAAATGGATAACTGAGCTTACCTAAAGGAAATTTAAGACTTGAGCAGATGCATGCAGTTTAGTTTCATGAAATTTACAGTAATTAATTTTATTGAGGCAAAATCAAAGCTAAATTGATTTTAAATTGTTATAATAGATGACATGTTTATTTCGATAAAATTGCAATCGTAGATATTATCACCGTTTATTAAGAGAAAGATCAATAAGGAATAATGTTTTTTAAATTAATTTGCAATCATTTAATTCATTATTTGAAATATGCTGTAAATTTGTGCACCTAAAAATTAACGTTTCATTGAATCAAATTATTTAATGCAATAATTGCTGTATAGTTGAACACAATTAATTCATATTATAAAAAAAAATTAGCAAATATTTAACAATTGTTTGTAAAATTTATAGGCAATGATTACTATATTTGTATATGTAACAAAATAACCTATCTTAGCGCCGATAGATTAACAAAAAGTTAAAATTAATAGAAACCTTTTATGTATTAGTAAAGAATAATATTTTTACATAATTCCTTAATGTAATAACTTTAACGGAAAATTACTAATGTGATAATTTTTTCTTTTTCGAAACAAATAATTTATCACATACTTTTGTAAAGAAGAAAATAATATTGTTATTTTAACTCGATATCTTTATTCAAATCAGTTTTAAAATTTTCATTTGTTAAAATTTACCACAATTGCCACATTCCAGTTAACTTTTACCTCTACGGTACTATTATAATGGAAAGACGTACCTAAGGGTAAAATAACATAAGCGGTCAAATGTTCTCTGTTTCAAAACCGACAGAGGTTTTGTGCTAGGTTGCTTGTAAAAAGGGTCCACTGGGAACAACGGGAAAATCCTCTACCAGTAGTAAGACACCATATTAATCTAATATTGTTTGAGTATCTCTATTCTATTGATGGTCGTTCAGTGATAGAATAATAATTTATGCATTAAAACATGCTGACAACTTTTTACATTTTCAGAATAAATCACTAAGAGTTGTTTGTCACATTATTATAATTGTTTGACATATTCACATTATGTCAAACAATTTGTCTACAATATGCAATGCCAAAACTACTGAAGTTAATGTTGAACTTTTACGATACATAATGCAACTGTTAAACATATCTAGGGAAGAAGTAGACCAATTAGTATGTACTTTAGAAAGTTCTGATATACCAGATAGCCATGTTACAAATGAAAATCAATTATTAAGATGTAACAAGTGTTCGAAGTCAAATATGACATCTTTCAAAAATAAAGCATTGTCAAGCAGAAGTGAAAATCCCAAGTAAAAATCTTTAAGTACAGACCGAAATTTATTTAGAGTTATTTTATTTACATAATACTCTATTTTAGGCAAACTAACAAAGACGAACGTTTCTACCCAGATTCTACATTGCTAGATGAATATGACACTTTTATGTCACGTTTTAAATAAATAAGAATGGGCTATAACTGATTCTTAAAAGTTATCGATGGAAATATGGTACATATATTACGTTATAAGATTGTTAACAATATTGTGTAAGATATTAAAATGACAAATTATAAAATTCAATAGTTTTAATAAAATTACTTTGTTACCTTTTTCTCTGCGATCAATCGTTATATCGAAACCATTTTCTCTTTTCCAAACAATCTTTGGTTCAGGATAACCTTTAGCTTTGCAAGACAGCGATATATTGAGCCCTTCTCTCACAGCCATAGTTGACGCTGAACTTTCTTCATCTACTATGTTTGGTGGTACTGTAAAAAAAAAAACAATTTAAGTTTGACTTGAAAAAAAAATACCAATATTGAAAGTATTAAATCCTACTAAAAGTTGTGATTTTGGTTATTTTTTAAAGTTGCAAGAATATATCAATTGTATTTTCGTTCTTATTATAACTTTATAATACTTAAACAATATGAATAAACAAAAAAGTTGACTTGATAGATAATTAATATTGTAAAATTTTAATTTACATTTTATATAATATAGTTTATGATCTAAAATAATATTAGTTTATGGTTTTGAACCTCTTTTTAGCCTTTTACTATTCAAATGACATATCAGCTTTGAGTGTACAAATCATTAATGGCTAAATTAAAGTTAACTTTAATTTTTAAAATTTTATTTCATTTTTATAATTACCAAGTAGATTAATCTTATTACATAATAAAACATTGAAAAATTTTCCGATGCTGGAAAAATTCATTAACGAATTTCGGATTTCAATTTTTTTTTAATAAAAATGCTCAAATGCGTTGTTCTATGAAAATTGTTCGAATAGAATAGTAAATTTTTTCTAGCGCTCCACAAGCTATTTAAAAATATCAGATTTTTTAAAGATTTTTTAAAAATATCAGCTTACAGCTGCCTACGTTGGACAATGACTTAAGATCTGAAATTTTTTAATGATTCAATTACAAACGTTCAGAGGAACCCTTAAAATTTTGTTAATGATACTTCAGCAAAAAAATAAATAACGCGGTATTTACAAATTGTATTTTAATGATTTAAATTTTTTTATTTATATAATAAAATATTTCATTATAATATATGCTTTTACGGGTATTTTATCATAATATAACATTATTTCGTACAATATTTTATTGTAAAACGTTAACATTAAAAATAGTGAATTTGTTTACATTGTTTGTACATAATTAAATTTGTATTCAAATAAAAAAGTTTTTTCAAATTTTCAAAGCTTAAAGAAGTTCACATATTGATCATCCATTTTTACAAATTATGACGAATAAAAAATCTATTTACCTTAAAGATTTTGTTTATTATAAAAGTAATAGCTTAATCCAGGCATGAAATTAATAAAAAGTACTGGCTATATATGTAAATGAATTTTAAATTTTTTAATTATTACATCTCATATTTATACATATGTTAGATATAATAAAATAAAGAATCAAAAAAGACTATATCGATATGGAAAATCGAAGTTAACTGACTGTTTATAACATATGAGTTTAAATTTTTAAGATCTCAGTTTTACTAACTTCTCAAAAAGCTTCGTGGAATTCATGATGGAGATTCTAACAATGCAAGTGACGTGCATAACTTAAAGATTTACTTATGCGATGATTTCGAACTAGATAGGTTTATATTTTAGTTTATTATTGCTTATAAATTAAATTTATTATTTCCTGATAAATCGCATGAGGGAATATTTTAAGAAATTTTGACTGGGTTAATTTTTTGTACAATTACTCATACAATGTCAAATTTACAGGTATCTGGACACCATGTTCCAAACAACGATATTTTTACATTATTTAATATGTAGAGTAAGACTGATATGTATTCCAAGTACATTTTATTCTTTAGGACTATCAAAAAATTTTTTTTGATAATCCGTTACTGACTGCATAAAGTTGATAATGATAGCTTATAACTAAATAAATTAACGGTACACAAAAATTTATTTAACTCAATCAGATTGTCACTCAGTAATTAAATACTAATCACACTTATGCCATCCAGTTAAATTATAAAAATATTCTTGAATTTTGTTCATTTTCTACACTCGTGATAAAGAAAATAATAAATAATTTAGTGACTCTAAAAACTCTACGAGATATTTTACAATAAATAATTATAAATAGGGTTCATAATTTTCTAGCATTTGCATATAATTTTTTATTTTGAGAGATCTTAGATATAATTACGCAAGCTACAAATTTAGTTCAAAAAATAATAAACCTTATGGCTACACAATTTTACGGTGTGTGTTTGGCGTTATTTTAGTATCGTAAATAGAAAACATTTCTTCTTCTTCTTCTTCCTCGCCTTAATCCCAACTACTGGGGTCAGCCACCCTTATCCTAAACTTCCACTTGACATGATTTCCCACATCATCTACGCTCACGTCAGCTGTTCTGATATCACATTCAATAGCACCCCTCCGTCTATTTTTTGGTCTTCCTCTACCTCCTCTTCCTTCAACATTAATTTATATAACTGTTCTTACAGCTTCCGATTCTTCTCTTCTCATAATATGATCAAATCATCTTAGTCTATTTTTTCTCATCTTATCCACGATTGACGCTACATTATTATTCATTTTTACATGTTCGCTCCTTTTCCTATCTTCTCTAGTCACTCCACTCATCCATCTAAGCATTCTCATTTCTACTACACTCATTCTCTGCTCTACTTTCTTATCAACCGCACAACACTCTGAGCCATACATCATAGCTATTCCCACTATAGTCTTGTAGAATTTACCTTTCAGCCTCATTGGAATTCTTTAACCGCATAAGACAACAGACGGTTCTCTCCACTTCAACCACTCGTACTTAATCCTGTGTCTTACATCCTCGTCAATACCACCGCTCTTTTGCGTAACCTATCCTAAATACTTAAAACTTTCCACCTCTCTAATCACGTCCTCATCTATTGTCACTGATCTCCTCATTTCACCTACCTTGTGTTTTCCTTTATCAAACTCGTACTCTATATACTCTGTCTTACTTATACTTATTATTAAACTTTTCTCTTTAAGAGATGATCTCCACACTTCTAGCCTTTGATTAATTTCCTCCATATTTTCTCCTATTAACTATATCGTCAGCAAACAACATGCACCACGGCACCATTTCTTGTATTTCTCTAGTAATTTCATGCATCACTATAGATAATAAGTAAGGACATAAAGCAGAACCTTGTTGCACTCCTACTCTTACCCGAAAACCTACTGTTACTCCTCCTACGCTTTTTATCCTAGTACAAATTCTATCATACATATCTTCTATTATATTAATGTACCTTTTCAGGATTCATTTCTCATTAATGACCACTTTAAAACCTCACTCGGTACTCTATCATACGCTTTCTCCAAATCTCTAAATACCATACATAGTTTTTTCTTCTTTTTCCAAAACTGGTTTTTAGATACCGATGTCTCATATCTTATTTTCTTATCTATTATTTTTTCCCAAATTTTCATACTATGACACATAAACTCTATGCCTTTATATTATAGAAATTATAATATTATATTATTTAAATTATAGAGCCTATAATTTCCACACTCCTGTATGTTACCTTTACCTTTAAACATCGGTACCCAAATACTATTTCTTCATTCATTAGGAATTTTCCCTTCTAATAAGATTTTATTTAAAAAATCTTTCAACCACTTTATACCTTTTTTTTTTTCGACCGGCTTATTGTGATATTATTATTTTACAACTATTGTACGAAGATAGTATCAGTAGATTGTATCAGGAATAATACATGTACCCCTTGCACCATCTAGCGATGTGCAATTCTTTAACTTAAAAATATGTTTAATTAATTTTATTAAAAAGTAAAATAGTTCAATATCTTTCTATTTTTTTTATAAGCGTTCCCATTAACTCGAAAATTATATTAATACTAATTATAACACGTGCGTAAATAACTTTATAGTTTCGTAGCATTATTTCAGTATTATTGTTTTCATAAAAAAAATCAAAAACAAATCGTTAGTTTATAATATTTCCCAGAAGTTTTTTTTCAGTGTATATGTTAGTTTTCGTGTTAACAATTTTGAAACAAGTGAATTATTTTTTACGATGCCTATAGAAAGATAATCATTTTTAAATCGGTTAAAAATTATGTTTGCGGATTTGATCACGATATTTTTGCAACTGGCCCAAGCGTGTTACTGTGCAAATGTTAAAATAAATCTTGAACAAAAATTAACATCACACAAAATTTCAGAAATGAAACACATATTGAGACTATTAAACTTACAGAAATTCAAAATATAAACAAAAACAAAAATTGTTGATAAATACTGCAAAACAATTTTCAATTAATAAGGAATTGTATTTTGCATTATTTCAACTAATATAGTTTTAAATAAAATTTTAAATTTAAATTTCTACAAATATTTGGAAGCTTATACAGAAACAAACTTGAAACTCGGGTATACAGAAGTTAGATCTTGGATAGAAGTTATTGGATCAATAGTTTTAATGTTGATCACTTCTATCCTGGGTAGATGACATTTTAGGTGATACAATGAGTAAAATTAAACTTAAAATGTCTGGAAAAAGTTTGTGATAAAATTGACGAAATACTGTTGATGTTAAATTTTTTCTAATGTAATTTAAGTTCTCGTTAAAAAAAACAAATTATTTTATTGTTTGAAAACTATTTGAAAAGGCAACTGGAATTATACAAATAAATACTCTTGAACAATTAGTTGATAATAATGCTTTTGAAACCAAAGAGACAAAAATATATTTAAAACAGACATCAAAAAAAATTTTACTTACATAAAGTGAAATTTTACCAAACTAAAAGAATTTAATCTTAACTTTTTGTATTACTTTTTTTTTACAAAAGAGTCACTGAAAAAAAGTAATCGGTTTGGTTGAATTTAATTTAATGTTTCATCCATAATGTTATTTGCTAACAATTTTTTTTTTTGTAAAACAAGTTAGAAATAATTAAATGAATTAATTTTTTGCATATTTTAGCATTTTTATTTTTTAAATTTACGTGATAAATCAATATTTTTAAGTTTTTTGTATAGCGCTTAAAATATTACTTTTTAGTGTTATAAGTTATGAGCCCAGATTATATAGTAAATTTTTTGTAAACGAAGAATAAAATATTAAATTCATGTTTAAATGATTACAATTCATAATTCTCCGAAATATAGTATTTATAAGTATAAATAAAAATTTCAATTAAATTTCATTTAGACACAAATCTTAAACAAACGCCGTGTTAGAACAATTAAAACAATAAAGTTTTCTAGTAAAAAAATACATTTTTTTTTTAAGAAACAAACACAAAATAATTTTTTTAAGCTGATTAAATTTTGAAATGTTTATTTTATTAATTTTTTATTTTAATTACGTTAATGTACCGGGTAAGTAATTTCATATGATTAAATTATTGTTGTAGACTAAAATGATTCAGCTAAATAATTGAAAACTCATGTTAACTGTAAACATCATGTACCCCAAAAATAAATGCAAATAAAAGAAAATCTGCACACTCTTTTGGTTATTGGAAAACAAACTAAAAAACAAACGTCTATTACACATAGCGATCGTAAAACCTATCTGGACCTGCAGAATTAAATTTTGGGATTGTGCTAACAGAGTAGTCGTATAACGCTGTTGAAACATCAGCCTTCGTACCATTGTCGCGACCAATTCAACAGTGTTATAGACATATCTATATTTTCGTCAAGAAGAATAAATACCGATAACAATTTATGGTCTATTAAAAAAGATAATTGTTGCCTTCTGTTTTATTAAACCAAATATAAATGAATTTTTACATTAAATTTAAAAATTTTAAAAATTATAATATTTAAATACACAATTGGTTGATCGAATGAAAAAAATTATAAGATTAAATTTGTTTGTAATTTCTTTGTGCTATTATATCATCACATTAAATTTATTCTTACGTCAAATTTTGTTTATTACATGTATGTTTCTTTAAAGTTTCCTTATTTTTGCATTATATTACAACAGACTGAATTCTATGAAATGATAGTTCATTTGTTTTACTGACAAAGAAATTTACTAAGGGTCAGTTGTTTTCTGTAAAAATGTCAGAGAAAGTCACAATAGAAATTAGGAATTGTTGTCCTTGGCCCGTGGAGCTGTTTTTAATTTAAACAATGTAAATAATTTATTTACTTTAAAGTTTGCAATTTTCATTCAGAGTTCGTAGAAATTTTGAAAATAAATAAACTGCGCCAAATATTAAAATAGTTAATAACTTAAATAGATAACAGTAAAAAATATATTTCGTGTACTAACTAATGTACTAATGTCAAAATCCTTTTTTCTTTAAATAATTTTTATTAAATTTAACTCTAAATTATTCTCTTTAACTCTATTTAATTAAACGCTCAATATTAGGCACCAGTTATTTTAATATAATTATAGCCTTCAATTCCTCTTGAATATGTAAAATAGAACATTTATGCTCTTATGTCTTATTGAAGTGCTAAAATGAAATTAAAAACTGACACTAAACGCTTTTGAAATATAATTATTCCGATAGAAAATTGTTATTTTATCTTAAAACTACTGTTAATTAAACTGAACGATATGTTATGTAACATTTATACAAAACAAATATTATCTAAAGAAAAAAATATATTAGTATAAACCTAACCGTGCTTGAAATATTACTCTCGTAAGTTTAATAACCAACTTTTCTTGGCAAAACCCTATGAGCTACTGCTAATAATAAATCACTTGTCAAATGACTAACGCATGTGACAAGCAGCCATATTGGAGCAGTACAGTTATTAATTTCTATAGTTCATCTACCATTTAAATATTAGTATTCAGAGTAGGCATAAGTTAGATATATTTCAGAAGACGATGAACTAGTACATTCTTAGTAATACAGCAAAAAAAAAAAGAAGAAAAAGTGCACGGCTTAGGTAAAAAAATATTTTTAAAATATAAGCCTGTAATAACAAAGTGTACCATCTGTGTAATATATTCTGTTAAAATTAAATATTAATTTAGAATTTTTATGGTAAAACTGCACAACATAAAATATTTAATTCAATTTTTGGCTTAACCATAAGAAAATAACGTCGCTACAAGTTCTCTTTTTCTTTTTTAAAATAATTACTTGCAATTTTGGTTATTTCAGTTGAAATTTGCTAAAATACCTACATTGTGATAAAGCATTACTAAATGTAAAGAGATGAGTACAGTGTATTAAAGTATTTTTAATCATCTACTTTGTATAAATCATCGTGCGCGGTTAAAAAATATGACCTCATAACTGTAAGCTGGTTCTAAATGTAGAGATTTTTAATTAAATTTTATGAAACACTACTGTTTTCATATATTTTTTTTTACTACGGAGAAATACAAAGAATTAACTGGAATCACTCTTATGATTTTTTACAAGATCCTTCATGATAATCTATTCATTATATCATACGTACTGGTTGTTATGTGGTATATTAAAAGGACGGGGTTAGTCAAAATAAATTGTCGACAGCATCTGGCTTAAGCTTTCATCGGCTTAAACTTTGGTCCTTAATGCCTTCATTTATTGGGTAACTTTATTTTTTATATAGAATTGCTATTTTTATTTAGGAAGACGGTTTAACCAACCAATCATATAGAGTGTAACTAAATATAAAGACTTCTTCAAATATGAATCATTAATAATCATTAATTTATTGTGTAAAACCATGAAACAAAAAAAATTCTACTCACCAACCACTTGAAGATGGCCACTTTGGCTGATCATTGGTTCAGTATTTACTTGGCACATATAAGTCCCTTTGTCCGAAGTTGTAACTCCATTGATATTGAGCATCCATGTCTTTTGACCATCATGCGATATACTAAACCGCGGTATCCTTGCAATCACATGTGTATGCACTGTGAGTATCATCTTACGATCAAGATGTATCCAAGCAACCTATGTTGAAAACATTCCTTTTTAATATTTTTTTAATAGAACTTAAAGTTAATTTTATTTGAAAAATTTTGAGTATTTTTGATAAGATGTCAATTATATACATTATATACAAGTTAAACGACATCTAATTTACTTATTTTTTAAACATAATTATATAATTTTGTATTTAAAAAGCTAAAAAAAGTGAAAACACTGGTAAAAAATGTATTGTTTTTCGTTAAAATTTATCACACAATATTAAAAAATTGATAAATTTTCATGAATATTTTACAAATTTTGTAGATTTCCTTATGTAATCGTCAGTGTAAATGAAATTATAAAGTTCAAAAATTTATATATTGAACTCACTTAATGAAAACTGAAAAGTTTCCAGTGTAAAATAAATTTCCCTGTATCGTATTCTAAAAAATATTTTAGCTACTTTGTTCAATTATTTCTCAATTGAATTTTTATATTATAACATGAAATACAAGAAATTAAATTAAATTATATATATATACTAAACTTTACCTTATTTTACATTTAGTTTACTATAAGATATTCAAAAATTTACATTTGACAATATTTAAAAAACTTCAAAATACTACACTACTTAAAAAAATTAATCTTTTTGACAAATGAAAAGTATTTGCTTTTTGTTATTATTTTTAGTTTCAAATGCCTACGATATTCTAAAAAGGTACAGCTCTTTGCAATAAACTAAAATATAATTTTAAGTATACCTTGGAGATCATTTTTTGTGAAACCGTGTTGAAATTGTTTTTTTTTTATTACCCATCCTAAACCTTAGCTTGTGGCAATTTAATTTACACACCGTCTTTGGCCAAATTATAATACCACTAAAAAAATGTTTTCTCTATCTTTTAATTGATTATTTTCATGCCGACTAAAAACAAAATAAGATGCAAGGGGTGACTGGTTAATTATTTTTATTAACGAAGCAAAGATTGAAAAAAAACTTGTCTCTTCGTTATACTTGACAGTAAACGCAATTAATAATTATGAAGCGAGTTCAAAGAAAAATTGTTTGTCTATAAATAATTCAAGGTATCTTTTTATAAAGTCTTATAATTTCACAAAAGATAATTGTAAATTAGAAAATAAGAGTAATTAAATAAATTAACTTAGAAATTTATTTAATTTGTGCAGAAAGATATGTGTTAATATTTTAGAAATTAAGTTTAATATCTTCTAAAATCTTATTAAGAAAAATTTTAAATATATATATATTTTTTTTTGTTGGAAAAAAAACTTTGTTTTAAATATTCAAAAATTAATACTTTATCTAAATTACTGGAGTACATATATATGTATATATTTTTAACATAACATTATATAATTAACTTTTCCATTATACCATAGATTTAGTATTGAACTGGTAATTTAAATAATATAACGGATGACTTCTATAAATAATTGATATCGATTGAAAAATTAGTTTTGTATTATTTTATTGTATTTCATATGTTTATAAGCATTCCAATATTAAAATGATGAGCGAAAAAAAGGAACAATGACTTATTGTCATGTACCTGTCATTTTGTTTGTTGGAAAAAACGAACGCGAAATTTAACAAATAACTGGTTAGAAAAGTTAATAATAATAATACAAATAATAATATAGGATACGATCAGAAAAGGATTTTTCCACGTCTGGAATGAAATCCCTCGAGAAAGTCTGTTTTTATTTTGTTTGGTCAATCGTTAGTTTTTAAATAACTGTCAGACAATCACGCCGCTACACTGTGTACCTGAACAAAATGTAATATCTTCTCCATTATTACAGAAAAATCTCTTGGTATCTCAATAAACTACTATTTATTCTTTATTTTGTCATATTACCGATGATTAATTATTGTAACTATTACAATAATAATTATTGTGACTTATGTATTTTACAAAATTTAAAAGAGTTATCAATAACAATTTGTATATTAATTGTAATAAACAAACATCCAAAACTAAAACTTAAAAACCTTATGAATGTACTACTATAAATATTTTATAAGTGATACTACTTTTTATAGTTCATTAAAAATTATTAATGATTTAATATAGATGATAACCATTCAGAGTAATCCCATCGAATTATTACTCATTTCATATATTAAGATTTAAAGTACTCATATACTCAATTTGGGGTATATGTAACAATTATTATGATAAATCATAATATTATTCATTACGTGTCATAAATTTATCATTAACCTAGTCGTATTAATTATTATTATTTAATTAAACTTTTTAAAATATTTTGAACTCGTATTAGTAAAACATTGTTTTGTATTAATGTTTATAATCTAAACAATGTACTAAGTTTTGCTAAATTTGCTAAATTATTTTTGTTTATTTTATTATTTATTTTAATTGAACACTTTATAAGTACTCAGTTTTTAATTTAAGTTAATTGTAAAGGAGTATTTAAGTGTATCCATAACAATTATGTACACTCAAATACACCCGTGAAAGAAATTTACGACTGAATGATTAATTTAATTAATTTTTAATTATTAATAGACTAGTATGTATATTATCAAGTGATTGAATAAATTCCTCCGAGTGGCATTATGCAGATAAGATTTTTCACGTTTAAATGCATATTAGAGTTACTTTTTGTCTGATCAAAAAAGATCATCCTATGTGAATAGCTAAAATGTTTTATCAAACAGCTAATCCTCGACAGTTTTTCTTAATGAATTCACTTTTTACCATAGTACAGATTTATACATTCGTAAATCGTCGCCAGTCTCTCTATAAAATGAGATAGATAGTGTTATCAATAAGAATTTAAACTTTAAAACTATTATATATAGTTCAATAATCAGTTTTGGACAATTAATTAACTAATTGAAAACTGATCTACTACTTTACTTTTTTCATTTCTCAATGTTTTATTTTTTTATTTATATGAATTCTCTTATATTTAGCACTTTTATGGATTCTCAAATTTCTAATTTTTTCATTTCTATGGCTTCTTTTATTTTGCACTTTTATGGCTTCTCAATGTTTTATTTTTGCATTTATATGGCTTCTCAGTGTTTTATTTTTGCATTTATATGGCTTCTCAATGTCCTATTTTTGCATTTCTACGGCTTCTTTCATTTTGCACTTTTATGGCTTCTCAAATGTTTTATTTTTGCATTTATATGGCTTCTCAATGTTCTATTTTTGCATTTCTACGGCTTCTTTTATTTTGCACTTTTATGGCTTCTCAGTGTTTTATTTTTGCATTTATAAGGATTCTTTTATTTAGCACTTCTATGGTTTCTCAACGTTTTATTTTTTTTGTGTTTATAACATACTAAAGATTTAAATTTTCATGGCTACTTAAAATTCAGTGTTTTTAAAATAAAAATTGAAAAAGGATTTTAAATATTAACCAGAAGTAAATTGATTAATTTTTATATTGAATGGAAATATTTTATAAATATTTCTAAGTTGATAATATCAAAAATTAATTAATTTTTGAATACTTTTATGAAATAAAATAAGTTTGCTGGAATTTTACATCAATTTGATTAGTCAAAGGTTTTTTTTACATCGGTGCATTTAAATGTCTTTTTAACCATCTATAGGCAAAATAAGTCTTTATACGTATAATAAATAATTTTATTGCTAAGCAATTTTTAATTATTTGTACAAAAGCAATTTTTACATATTAATTGGTAGATAAAGAATTTTATAGATAATTACATTTTTTTTTGTCCCACCTAAGTTTTTGGGTCATTTATAGTAAAAGTAAATTTATAGATACAGTGTAACTATAATTTTTGCAAACTTATTTAACCATTTTACGTAAACCATAAATATAAATATAAAATTATTCAGTAAATTATTTTTATGACACATAAAAATATTAGTAATATAATATTACGCGAATATATTAAATAGAAACATTATAAACAATTTGTGATTAGAATAATAAATTGAATAAATGTATCGTTTACTAGAAATTTATACCTTTTTTTGCGTATCTAATAAATTATTTAAGTAAAATAACTTATACAAACAAAAAGTGCTTTATATTATATAAATATATAACAAAACAAATTTTAGCTTAAATAAAACAGTTTTTTAATCTTTGTAATATATCTTTTAAATTATTTTATAATAAACCTTGGATTGGATAAATGGATTAACAAAAATTTCTCTGTACGTCGTTTATTATATCCCAACTCGGGACCAATTTTTGTGTTTGGTCATTTTATTTTTACTCAACTTTATTTTAAAAAAAGGTGGACTCGTTTAATTAATTTGTCAAGTCGAATTTTTTTGTCAGTTCAGTGTAGATAATAATAAAATACATTTTTGTATGTAAGAAAAAAAATGATATTGCTGATAAAATAAATACAAAAAAATTTGTATGTCTGTAAATAGCTAATGATCGTTGATGATGGGTTTTAAATATTAATTGAACAGTTAATATAATAACGGATTTTAATGAAAGAAATGTATTTAATGCCATATCACATTAGAAAAATATCAAGTCAACTTGTACCATCTGTTTTAAACAGTAAGCTACTTAATCATTCTGAAATTTATGCAAGGGCTATAAATTATGACAGTAAATTATTTCTTAGATTAAACGGTTGGATAAGCTGTTGTAATATTTTTTACTTAAAAATTCGCATTAAATATTACCATGAATTGAAGAAAAAATATAATTAAATTGAAGGATTTAAAAAAACAAATTTATTTTTAGAAATTATAAACTTTCGACTTTACCGAAAGCGAAAAGCTTATAATTTAATTTATATTATATAATAGTTCAAATTCTAAACTTACTTGTTTAATTTGTTGAAATAAGATTTGAGGATTGTAAGGATCAATTAAAATGTAGCTTTTTTAACCTCTATTAACTTTTATTTACCGTACAAGTAATGTTGTGAAAACAAAAATCTTAGAGTTATTAGTTTATAGTTCTAGTTTATCATTTTAAAGACTTACATCATTTCACTATTAATTTTTACGACAAAAAATTAGTAAGGGCTAAAAAAGTTT